TGACCCTGACTGCTAAGCCGGATTTGTGTGATGAGCACGATCATTGTACAAGCTCTGCTTAGTTTGAAACTAGATGGCGTTGTGTGTCTGACGTCCGACATATTATTATTATTATCATTCCTGTGTCTGGGTGGAATTTATCTATAACTACTCGTAGCTTTCGCCCGCGTTTTTCCTCAAGAATCAATGAATCTTCATACTAAATTTCATCTAAATCGGTTTTACGGTTATTGATTCCCCATACAAACTTCCACCCCTCCCCCCCTTTTCACCCCCTTAAAGGATGTTTTCTGGGATAAAAACTACCCTATGTCCTTTTTTGAGACTCCGACTATCTCTATACCAACTTTCATTTAAATCGGTTTAGCGGTTTAAGCGTGAAGAGGTAAAAGACGGACAGACAGAAAGACAGACATACAGGCAGACACACTTTTACATATAGTATCGATAATGGTTTATTGAATAGTATCAATATTTATTAAAGACCAGCTGACCTGCGCAACTTCGTCTTTAGAAGGAATAACTTTGCCCAATTTTTTATTGATGTCCGGCTCCTATTGGTCGTAGCGAATTGTTATATAGCGTTCTTGATAAATAAGCTATCCAACGCTAAAATAATTATTCAATTCGAACCCGTAGTTCCTGAGATTAGCGCTTCAACCAAACAAACTCTATAGCTTTAGGTTATTAGTATAGATTAAGGTTTTACATAAGTTTGTATCTCGGAGATGCCCAACCTTTTAAATCCTACGTGGACCCTTTTAACCGACTTTAAATAAAGAGGAAGATACAATTCGATTTTTTCGGCTTTATACTATAAATATGCATTATGATGTAAATAAATGCATTAAGCATTAAACTGTATCAACTTGTTTTGCCAGATTAAAGAAATACCGGTTCAGAAGGTTAGGTTTTTCTCCATGTTTTTGCAAATATCTAACCTGTTCTCGTGGTACAGAGTTAAAATATACAGCTAAAGACATGCCTTGGCTAGTTTTTAAAATTGATGATTTCATGTCGTAGTCGTGATAGCGTTATTAATAGTAACCATAATAATTACTTCACACATCACACGCGTCACATCATATCAACAGACTTTAATAGTCCACTGCTGGACATAGGCCTCTCCTTAGAAATTACTATACCAGGCCAGACGGGTTGGTATAGGTTTTGTGTAAAGTTTTCCTTCTCTCTTCAGTGTTGTTGTTCTGCGTTGTTTTCTTCCTTAGTCGGCTCTTACGACACCCACGGGATGAATAGGGGTGGTGACACATTTCACACACGGCAATCTAATCCTAAACTAGACAGAACTTGTACCAGACTGCTAATAAACATACTTGAGCCATACTACACTATAATATTATAAATGCGAGTGTGTCTGTCTCTCTGTCTGTTACCTCTTCACGCTTAAACCGCTGAAACGATTTAGATGAAATTTCGTAGAGAGATAGTTTGAGTCCCGAAAACGGACATAGGATACTTCTTATCCCAGAAATCGTGGGAGAGCCATGCTTCGGCACGAATGGGCCGGCTCGACCGGAGTGATATCACGGCCTCACAGAAAACCGGTGATAAGCAACAGCGGCGTGCACAGGATTATGACACTAGGTATGCGGAGTAGTCGGTCACAAAAACTTTTTCTTTTATAGATTTTTAGCATAGCCACAGCCACGCGACGGATCTCTAAGTCGGAAACCATGCCAACAGAACAAGTCTTAGATGTACTACTATTCATGTACATCTTCAACGGGAACGCAGACAAAACAGCGATAGATCGTCGCGGCGGAAGAAATTCTAATAAGTAAAATAATAAGCTAAAATAGAATAACTACTCGCCTGGTCATCTTCAATTTTCTGATTTTTACATATTCAAGGTTCCGGTTACACACATTTTCCACACGTACCTCACAATCAAATAACATTTTTAAAAAATCAACGGAACTCAGTAATAAACTGTTAAATGTACAACTTTCAAAAGTTAAAATGAAAAATAAAACTATAATTATACTGGCGCAAACAAAATGTAAAGAATATGGCCGCGAAACACACGAAACATATCTGCTATTTAAACGAACACTTCCGATTACACCCGAACTAACTTCGGTAGCCTGCCGCTGGAGGCGGGGTAATAAAATATATGGGTGTGTGCGTTTGCGAACTGTGCACGGACACCAAAATTACTACACACATGCGAACAAATGTAATGCGGGACGCGACGGCATGAGTTGCTTTGCGCTTGCTTTTCGGTAAACACCTGGCAAAACTTAATGTTTGTGTGGTACTATTTTTAAATAGTAGGCGTTTTTAAGTTATTATATTTTGTTTTTTCATTTATTTACTATTAATAAAAGTCATCTAAAACGTACGAACGTTTTATTAAAATGTCTGTGAATAGCAAGTAAAGCACTGCATTTCTGCCTACAAGGAGCGCACGCCCCTGATAAGCAATTCTTTCGTTGCCTTTCACTGAGTGAATGAGGTTACCGGAGCCCAAATCCCCCCTCCCGCTGACTTGAGCGGGAGGGACCCCCCTTATACCATAAAAAAACGCCACCTTTCACCCCCTTGATCCTTCAAGGGGGTGAAAAGGTGGCTGGAAGTTTGTATGGGGAATCAATAACCGCTGATCACATTTAGATGCAATTTTATATGAAGATATTTTTAGTTGCAGGGAAGGACATAGGCCATATATAGGATCGCAATAACCGACATACGTGCGGGCGGAGCCAAGTGCAATAGCTTATATAATCTTATATATAAAATTCTCGTGTCATAATGTTAGTTACCATACTCCTCCGAAACGGCTGGACCGATTTTTATGAAATTTTGTGTGCACATCGGGTAAGTCTGAGAATCGGCCAACATCTATTTTTCATACCCCTAAATGACAATGGTGGCCCACCCCTAATTTTTTTATAATGTATATGGCAAAACAACATAATAATATGTATATATTTCTAAATACATACATATTATAGATAAATTACACCTAGAAACAGAACAAATGATCGTACTCATCACACAGTTATCTGTCCTTAGTGAGTATCGAAGCCACGACCTTAGCTTAGCCACCAGGGTCGCTAAACCACTAGACCAACAGATCAATAATAATCTCTGTTGGATTATATTTACTGCTGAACACACTACTATTTAAATACTAGCTTTAGATATTTTGGACTTCGCGGTAAACCTATGTCCTTCCTTAAAAATCAAACTATCTCATACCATATTTCATCTAAATCGGTTCAGCGGTTTTGGATTTCCCATACCAACTTCCACTCCCCTTTTCACCCCCTTAAAGGATGTATTCTTTGATAAAAACTATCCTATGTCCTTTCTCGGAACTCAAACTATCTCTATACTGAATTGCATCTAAATCGATACAGCGGTTTAAGCGTGAAGAGTGACAGATAGACAGACACTTTTACATTTCTAATATTAGTATGGATTAGTTATTATCACGTAGATTAGTTCCATTAACCACAGTTAGAGGCGCTGATGTCGTTTTGTTTTTGTCGCGCATCATGGCGGCAGAAAATAATTAGTTTGTGTTAATAGCGAATAATAAGGTGCAAGTAGAAAACAAAAGTGCAATAAAATAAGATTGGGACAACTTTATATAGTATTCCAGGTTCTTCTCCATTTCTAACGTTTATTTATGTCGTTGAGATTTAAAATTCATGATAGAACCAATGACCAAACGTTGAAATTGATATGAGAGAGAGACGGATGGCGTAATGGTTTAAGCGGTCGCCACACCGCTTCCTACTACGCCGAGTGTTGTGGGTTCAAACCCCACATGGGACGACACTTTGTGTGATCCACAAATTGTTGTTCTGAGTCTGGGTGTTCTTTGTGTCCGTTTCATGTATGTTTGTAAAGTCCCCCGCGACGCAGAATTTATTCCCTTATGCGGGAGTTGTCTTTTTTAAAGGAATAAAAGAAAAAAAAAGAATAAATCTTTAAACATGTAAAGAATATAATCAGTTTTAGATTTTTTTCAAGGAATGACGGATGACGTAGTGGTTTAAGCTGTCGCCACGCCGCTTACTGCTACGCTTGTACGCTTTACTGCTACGCTGTGGTGGAGGGAACCAAAAAATTGAAATATTTCGGAAATTTTCTAACATTTACGACGTGATGGACCAATAGATTTACCTAACACCGGTTTTCTGTGAGGCCTATTTCCTGTGGTTTCACTCCGGTCGAGCTGGGCCTCAAACAGCCCCCCCCCCCAAGTCCCATGTATGCTTCTCGTTTAGTCCCATTCAAATTTGAAGAATAAATACCACCCATGAGTGGAAAATTAAGGAAAGAAGAATAAAGTCTATCATAATTCACAGCACGAATGGCGTAGTGATGTAAGCGGTCAAATTGCCGCTTCCTACTGCTCTGAGTGTTATGGCCTCGATCCCCACATGGGACAAAACTTTGTGTGATACTCACATTGTTGTTCTGAGTATAGGTGTTCTTTTTATGAATGTTTGTAAAGGCCCCTGCTACACAGGATACATTTATATTGTGGAGGAACGGATGTCATGTCCCTCCAACACAAAGGGAGGATCCTCCGACCAGGCGAGGTGAACATGCCTGGCGGGCCGCGGCCCCAACGGTTGATGTTGGGAAGTTGTATATATGCTAATTGGCGAGGGAATTCTTTATATCGCGATACAGGATTAGCAATTCATATTTTAGTAGTTACTCCGTAGTTTGGTGTATCTTCATTAGATGGCGCTGTAGTATATTTATGTGGGAGTCGCCACAATATTTATAACACACAGGATATAATTAATATCTGTGGCAATCGTTACGGGTAGTTCTAGTCCTAAAGCAGATCATCTACAGAACTTCGATATCGCCTAGTACTTGGGTTGTGGAGGTGTGATGGCACTCACTCCACGTGAAAAATTGAAGTCGACCCCAACCCGGTTTGAGAAAAGGCGCGGCGGATGAACGGGCTAAGGAATGTTTTTTAATAAATATATGTTTATTTGTTCCAGGTTCCGAATCTCAAATAGAATGCACTCCGGAGATCATGAAGGTGGTAGTCCCGATGGACGGAGACCGCAAGATATCGTACCTGGATCAGTTAAAAGGTAAAAGTTTTTTTTTTATCAAACTACACCAGGAGTAGGGTTTTATTTTTCGAGTGTTTTTGTGTATATTTCTAGTGTGTTGTTAGATTTTATCTTAATCGTGGGAGTGACACTGGGTGTATGAAAATTATATAAATTAAAATGAAAGAAACAAAGAATGATTTTTTGGGTACAGACACGTAAATAGAGGATAATATTAACCCATAATAGGGCTCACAACACTGGAATTATACACCCTATTTATAAAAGTGGAACACGGTATCTATTTAGAATTCCAAGATTTTTTAATTAAATGATATTTATTTCTGTAAGTAAATATTTTCAGATATTTTTAAAAGTCGACTGCTACAATAAATTGACGTCCAATCGCCGATTTATAAAGTTTAAGTAGGTACCTATAGATTTTCACGGAGTCGGCTTTTTTGTTGCTTATTTTTCAAAAATTTGCTTATAAAAGTAGACCAAATTCTTACGTAATCTAAGCAAAAATTTCTGATAATATTTATCCGTGTTTTAGAACAAGAACAAGCTCTGTTCAGGTTTAAGTGTAAATAGACTGTGTCATAAGTACTACCTGCTAAATTTCATTTGAAATTCACAACAAAACTTATTTGCCAAGACACATAAAACTTTGCAATTTATAATAAAGTTTCCCCCGTTTGTGAACGAAACACGGATGACAATGTACAAGATGGCGGCCTAATTAGCATGAGAATTAACACTTTCTCTCAACACAATGACACGTGGGAACGTATGTCTTAATATAGTTTATGTAAATGGCAAGAAAAACCTGGTCACGGATTAGAAGTTAAGTAATTACTATGTGTAGCTAAAATATTTTTCTTTAACATTGAGGTAACACTACGTTTAATACTCATCTGAAACCTCCTTTCTAAGGAGTTTTTCTTAAACCTCCTTTCTTAGAAGAGGCCTATGTCCAGCAGTGGACTATTAAAGGCTGTTGATGTGATGTAATGATGAATACTTTTCTTAATGTAGATACAAATTTCTAAACTACCTTCTTCTTTAAAAGAAATAGGAACAGAATTTAAACTGCATTTTGTCGTAGTAGCTTCTTGGTTCGGCCTCACAGTAAACCGGTGTTAAACAGTTTTTGGAATTCGTTCCAAAAACTGTTTAACACCGGTTTACTTGCCTAACGGTTACCTATCGCGCGTTACACGCTCTGAACAGATGGGTGCAAGACCGAAAAATGTGTAACAAGACTTTTTTCCGACACTTCTTGGTATAGTTACAGTCGTCGCGTATACATCGCCGCACACAGCTCTCAAGAAAGACTTGACGGCTCTCTTCTCACACACAACACAACACAAATCTATTTTGTTTAGACTTTTATTTATATTTTTATAGTAAACTAGATGGTGCCCGCTACTTTGTTCGCGTTGAATTTGAAAAGCGATGCCTTCGCCTGCGCTTGGTTCGATGCCTGACCGGGCAAAATATCCTAAGTTACTCCTTATATAGACAACTACCTTGTAGTACTATCCGCGAATCAAACCCACTAAAGCAACGCTTTTCAAATTCCAGCCATTGTTTTGGGCACCAGCTAGTACCTAAATAAAAAAAAACTTTTCTTAATATAGGTACAAATTTGCCGTTGAAATTTGTTGCCCCCGAGGGTTTAGGCTCTGCATTGATGAATCAGTCAGAGCAAGTAATTTCGAGAGTCGACGTCTAATATCACAAAAACACGACTTTATCTATTCAGAAGTTTCCCCCGAGGCTTAAGAACAAGATTAATTACATTGCTAGTTCAATTAACCACAATTCTTTACTACAGTATTAATTTTATTGATATAATAACTAGATTTTGTATTTGTACATTTGTTTTGTCCGTGTAGTGACGGATTAAGAATACGGAATGTCACTACCCCAATTCATCCCGTGGGTGTCGTAAGAGCCGACTAAGGGCGCAAAACAACGCAGGACACCAGCACTGCAAAAAGAAGGAAAACTTGACACAAACCCTATACCAACCCGTCTGGCCAGCGTGGTGTAGTAGGCCAAAACCTCCTTTCCTATTAAAGGCTGATGATGTGATGTGATGTGTGATGACATTTGTTACTTAACTTTATGCACTCTTGAATATCGGCGAACGGTGGATCTTGAAGGGAGCAAACGAGCAGATGGGTCATCTGATGGTAAGCAACTACCGCCGCCCATGGTCCAACTCAAAAGTCACAAGTGCGTTGCTGCCCTTGGAGTCCCTCCCGCTCGAGTCAGCGGGAGGGGGATTTGGGCTCCGGTAACCTCACTCACTCAGTGAAAGGCAACGAAAGAATTGCTTAACACCGGTTTTCTGTGAGGCCGTGGTATCTATCCGGTCGAGCCGGCCCATTCGTGCCGAAGCATGGCTCTCCCACGTTAATTTTGCCCAGGGCATTTTCTTTCAGTCAACCCTTAGGTGGTGTAGAAATCGTTAGTACTCGTAGTAGGCCCACATAGGTTGTATTACTATTCAATTATCAAATTAAGTACACAACACTACATACTTAAATAATAATCCATCACACATCCCATGTGTTGTGGGTCCGATCCCCACATGGGACGACACTTTTTGTGATTTTTGTTCTGAGTCTGGTAGTTCTTTGTGTCCATTTCATGTATGTTTGTGAAGTTCCCCGCGACACAGGATATAATTATGCCTAAAGTGAGAGATGTCTTGAATAAAATATTTTTTTTATTTTTTATTTTTTTTGTGAAAAAGACAACTCCCGCATTAGGAATAAATCCTGTGTCGCGGGGGACTTTACAAACATACACGAAACGGACACAAAAAACACCCAGACTTAGAACAACAATTTGTGGATCACACAAAGTGTCGTCCCATGTGCGGTTGAACCCACAACACTCGAAGTAGTAGGAAGCGGCGTGGCGACCGCTTAAACCACTACGCCATCCGTGCAGTCATATATATATCATATATATACATGAACATATATATACATGAACGAATATCCAAAGCGGCATTGCTAGGCTCGTCTCAAATATGGTTAGGTAGACGTAACACAGCAGACAGTTACAGCACAAGTAAAGAGAAAATTCTGAAAAATAAAAAGAAGTTGAAAATTAAGGTAAATTTTGGTACTTTCTAAGTTTTCAGTTTAAAATCGAAATTTGCCCATATCTTTTTATTGTGTTGACTCAGGACCTTGATTTTTAAACACCTAATAGGGACCATAGACCTTAGTATCTGGTATAAATTTCAACTTGCTAAGTCTACCCGTTCCTGAGAAAATCGGTGGTGACACACGGACAGACGGACAAGAAAGTGATCTTATAAGGGTTCCTTTTTTACCTTTTGAGGTACGGAACCCTAAAAGTAGAATTAAAAACTTAAATAAGTTACAAAAAATTGTGAAAATATAAGAAATACAAAAATAAAATAAAAAATAAAGCAAAAAATAATAATAACAACGTTGAGGCTTACATTACATCAAAGCTGTTAAGCATTTCTGATATTTAGAAATTACACCTACACACAGAACAAAGGACTGGTCATCACACAGTTATTTGACATGGGTGGGAATCGAAACCACGAAATCCACAATCATAATCACTAGACTAACAGCCGGCCCGTCATAACACAAATTTAAACACTTTCTATTATAAAGAAAAAAAAACGAGTGTGCTTTAGACCACACGACTGAAGTAAAATGTACTTGGCTATGAGAGAAAGAACATGTGTGCTCGCACCTCTCTCTCTCTTGCCCTTACTTCACTAACTTATATCTCCCTCTCAACTTCTCTCTCGCGTCTCGTCACGCATTCACCAGCTTACTCCCGTCCCTTCATCAAGCGTGCGTAAAGAAGTTTTTAAAAATTTATCATCTTCGCAAATGTCCTCACTGCCTGTAATACGTGGTTTTGATGTTTGACAGTCAGCAATAAATTGTAATCAAATTATCATGTTTAATTCATAAATCTGTTTAAAAATAAAGATGTCCGCGGAAACTGACTTTATTGACATTTCAATGGCGGGAATAAGACGGTAGATAAATCTGAGTGACTTGTTTTTGGTTTCCAAACGGCCAAAGTCGGACACTTCGCGGTTGTATTTTGAAATTGTTTAATATATTGGCTGTATTAAATCTCATTTGTAAACTGTACTGTACTGTAATTACAGTACTGTTTCGATCCTAATAGTTAAATATCCTACATAGTTTATTAATAACTAAACTCTATACAATCAAAAAAGCAGCATAGCAGTTGAGACCTTGGGCAGTTGGGGTACATACGCTAAGGTGTTTGTACATGAGTTAGGGAGCAGGCTGAACAAAGTGACCGGTGACTCCCGCTTAGGGTCGTTCCTTTGCGCCGGGGGGTTATGGGCACCTTTACGCCGAGAGCGACCAGGGGTGGGTTATTTAATATATAGAGAATTTTAGTTTTAGTTACTAGGAATCGATCAGTGTAATTTATGTTTAAAAATTAATTAGTTAAGTACTTGTAATGGAACAGTTACAGAACAATCCATTATATTATCTTCAACATTGTAGTAAATGTTGCTGTGTCTTCTGATAGTCGCTTCACTTTATGTTACAGCATTAAAAAGATTTATTTAAATCCGGTTTCCTGTTCCAGAAAGTTTTTTTTTATGTTAGAGGGGCAGACGAGCACACGGGTCACCTCATGGAAAGTGACCATCGCCGCCCATGAACGTCTGCAACATCTGTTTCCATTTAAACCAAAAAATATTTATTTAATTTCAGACCTGCGCAAGTTCGTCCACAACTTACAAAAGGAATAAATTTTCCCCGTTTTTGGAACATTTTTAAACTGCGTAATGTTATACACATAACTTATAGCCTTACTCGTTACATGGGCTATCTAACACTAAAAGAATTTTCCAATTCGAACCAGTAATTCCTGAGATTAACGCGTTCAACCAAACAAACAAACAAAATCTTTAGCTCTATAATTATAGTATAGATTTCAATTCTCAATTTTATAAAACTTCCGCACACCTCTTCATGGATAAAAAAATGTAAGCGTAGGCCTAACCATTATACACACAAGCATACTCATAAATATTACATATGGTAATTATCTAAAACAAATTAAATAGAATTTTAACAGGACTACATATGGGCATTCAGTAATAAATTTTATAGGCAATTGGAGTTTGTGTATTTATCCGATTCACGAACAGCAATAATTAATTCAATTCCCGGGACAGATATATCCTGGATTAATACGTGTTTACTTAATTGGATCCAGCGGCTAAGATATCGCCTAGTGTGTCCCCGGAGTATACCAGTGTTGATACATTACGTCATACACTACTCGCCAACAGAAGATGTATGCTATAAACAAACGAATATCAACTGTCTAAACTATGTTATAAAGATTTATTTAGCTTGAACTCTAAACAACTGACATAAATTTACTTTTTTATATAAAAATATAGACAAAGATCCTTGAAAAACCCTGGTCCGGACATCGAACCCACTAAGCCAGCGCTTTTCAAATTCCACGCGAACGAAGTCACGGGTACCAGCTAGTTAGACATAAAATTAAAAGCGTTACAACCTAAAACCCATAAGAATAAGACACAGAAACTCTATACAGACCATGGATTCCAAAAGTGGGGTCGATATCGGTTTTTCAAGGGTCGACATAAACGAAAACTGATTTTGGGGGTCGACGAGGTCAAAAATCAACCCATATTAATTAACCTTTAGAACCTTTCAAGATACTATATTAGGTTGGATACGTATACCAACTTGAATGACTAATATTTTAGTAGAAAGTATCATTGCTGTAGTTTTAAAAACTCACCAAATCGATAAAAGTGCAGTGATTTGGCTATGATAGTTTGAGGCATCAGTTAATTTTAGAAAAGGGGTTTCTTCCCCAAAATAGTTTAGGAATCTCTGCACTAGACTTTAGTAGTCATTAAAAGAACTTTTGATGTTCTACCTACCTAGAAGCTAATAAATCTTGAGCACAGCTGTACCTGGTAACAAAACGGGGAAACTAGATTTAATGTTTTACTTTTTTGGGGAAAATCGCAATTGGGAAATAATGCCACTAACCCAAGGTTGGCGTCACGTCGGCGGCAGGCTATAAAACACACTGCAGGCCTTCAATAAAATTTTAAATTATTTATTATTCTATCTATGGTATGTTCTAGAAAATGGTCGACTCGTTTTTTTAATTTGCACTTTTTTTTATTTTCAGAATACAAGCCTTGTCAACCGGAACTGAATGGAAAGACAGCAATGTTCGTGCTTGACCTGCAGGATCCTCACAAATGTGGTGTAACCAGGATTCTTCATAATAAGACCGTAGGTTTACAATTTATTTAGCAATTTGGCCAATAATACAGCTATTTTAAAGTCTAAGTTTCCAAGACCTGAATAGATTTAAAGTCTGAGTCCTTTTTCCTACCTAAAGTTGAGGACAGATAAGTTCTAAGTTTAAAAAAATTTGGACAAAACTATAAAAAATACATATAATAATAATAAAAAACCATATAATTATATTGCCTATAGTTTCTTATGTGTACGCCAAATATATGTACTACCAGCTGGTACCCGCGCCTTGTATGAGTCCCTAAATATACATAAACAATTTCTGGAAATCAATTGTTTATTAAGAACCCTGTAATAAAAACTTATGAATGAACCTAAGAGCTGGGACTGACTTTAACTAAACCTTCTGATATTATAAATCAGAGTTTGTTTGTTTGAAACGCGTTAATCTCAGGAACTACTCGTTGGAATTGAAAAAATTTTTTAGTGTTGAATAGACCATGTCTTGAGGAAGGCTATAGGCTATGTAACATCACGTAACGTACAATTAAAGCCGAGAATCAATACAAAGAATGTTGCAGAACATTTATTCATCACATCAACAGCCCTTAACAGTCCACTGCTGGACACAGGCCAATCCTTACAAAGGAGGTTTTGGTCTAATATACCACGCTGACCAGACGGGTTGGTATAGGGTTTGTTTCAAGTTTTCCTTCTCTTTGCAGTGCTATTGTCTTGCATAGTTTGTTCCCTTAGTCGCCTCTTACGACACCCACGGGATGAATAGGGATGGTGAGACTCTGTATTCTTAATCAGTCACCAAACGGACAGGAAATATTACAAACTTTTGATTTGCCAGACGCTGTGACCAAGTTGCACAGACTGACAAATCTCTTCTTTTGATTTCTCTAAAATAATAACAACATCTGATCCCAAACTAGGTAAAGCCTGTGCTCAGGCCGCCATAGAGTGGGGACTTCTAGTGGCAGATTGATTGCTCTGGTAGGGGATAGAATGGCAGCCTGATTGCATTAAGATGTAATCGGGCCACCATGCCGCAATAGAAGGGGGAAGTGTTCTCCCCTGGGATAGGGCCTGATTAGGCATGGTGTCAATTCGGGGAGGACCTGAAATAACATGGTCCGACTCCTCCCAGAGTAGGACATCTGAGGCCGGCCGTCGGGGTGGTTTTTAGTGGAATCACCACAAACTCCTGGCTCCTAAGTCCCCGAGGAGCAGGAGATATGAAGGGATTTTCCACACTGTCAACAAAAAAACTAGAGCCTGTGCTATGGTAACCAGACTGCTGATGGACATACTTATATATTTCTAAATACATATTACAGATAAATGACACCCAGTAAGCACACATATTCATCCTTATGATAAAACTAGTTGTCGGTCTTGTAACTTTGAACTAGTGATCCTAACTGTTGTGTGGTATTAAAACATGTAATAAATATGAACAGGGGCCGTCCTTATCATGTTAACTCTAGTTTGTCTTTTCCCCAGAGATAAACAAATCATTTTAACTACAAGTTTAAATAGCCACATTTCAGAGCTTCAACCTTTCTCATTATTTTTGGTCAAACGTATAATTTACATCTAGATTTTCTTGTCCGTTTTGTCCTCAGAGAGTATAAGTACTAACTGTGTGAGATATATAATATTTGTGGTGATATATTACCTAAAAACGGATAGTCTATTCGCTATAATATACTCTTAGGTAGTTAAAGTTGAAATCTTATAATAGTAATAAGCTTGTTAATTGTTTGTTTTATATATTGTTATATATTATTCTTTGTTTTATATTTGTTCAATTAAGTGTTAAAATCACATTTAACACGCTTTTATTAGCTTCACCTATATATGTTTGTATGTTTGTAACCGACTCCTTTGGGCGTGATTTTGACTGACTTTAAACGGTCAGAATTCATTCAAACTTTGTAGGTATATCGAGGAGCGATGACAAAACACTAATTTAAAATAAAAATAATAATAATATTAACAAAAATAGTTAAAAAAAACTAAAAAACACGCTTTTTATATTAAACCGAACCAGAAAAGAAATTTTAATAAATTTGAAAAAAAAGCGTGGGGTGCTTTTTACTATTGACAACATTTTTTTAAACTATTATTATTAGTTTTACATAGTAGTGTTACTCTATTAAGCATGTTGTGACGCCTTAAAATGTTGTGCATTAATCTTAAGATAAATAATAACGCTTGCCTAACTTCGACAGAGAGTAGACTTGTTTTCACACCTATTTTTTGTTTCCTATTTAAGTAAATAGGAAACAAAAAATAGATTTTTGATTTAATGTTATATAGGCCTCTTGAGGGCGTTTATGTGGTAAGTGGATAAAGAAAATTTGTTAATCAACAGTATCATTTTAGCCACAACACTTCTACAGCTGAATGTACGCCTAGATCGAAAAATTCCAGAAATAGGATACATCATCATCAACAGCCTTTAATAGCCTACTGCTGGGCAAAGGCTTGTCCTTAGAAAGGAGGTTTTGGCCTACTATACTACGTTGCCCAGACGGGTTGGGATAGGTTTGTGTCAAGTTTTCCTTCTCTTAATCGTAATTTGCTCCTTTAGTCGGCTGTTACGACACCCACGAGCTGAACAGGGTTTATAACACTGTATTCTTAATCCGTCACCACACGGACATAGGAGAAATAGTAAATAAATAGAATAAACAGGATTTATATAAAGCAAAAGTCATTTCGCTTGTTAATTGTGGTTTCGATTTCCATTAAATTTTTGTATAATCCAGAAGTAGTTATGCCATACTCCAGTTTTAAAATGGGAGAACCGTACTACAGTACATATGGGCCAGACTCGACCACAGAAAACCGCTTCTAAGCCCTTAACGATCACGGCGAAAAAATAATTTATGTATACGTAAGCCTAGCACAGCTCTCATGTGGAAAATTGTTATTTGTTTTGTCCCAAAAATATACAATCAACTGCCGGATGTATATAGGAAACAAAATATAAACGATTTTAAGAAGAAATGAAAATATTATTATAATGTTAATGATTATTCCTGTCCGTGTAGTGACGTATTCAGAATACGGAATGTCACTACCCCTTATTCATCCCGTGGGTGTCGTAAGAGCCGATTAAGGGCGCAAAACAACGCAGGACACCAGCACTGCAAGAAGAAGGAAAACTTGACCCAATCCCTATACCAACCCATCTGGCCAGCGTGGTATAGTAGGCCAAAACCTCCTTTCTAAGGAGAGGCCTATGTCCAGCAGTGGACTATTAAAGGCTGTTGATGTGATATGTGAATGATTATTCTCTACCATAGATTTTCTCCTGTTCATTAAACTTCCTGTATCAAAACTTTTTCCTTTTTTTTATATTTAAGAATGGAACACCAATTGTGGCAGAACATGCTGTGATTTCTGATTGTATTTTTTAAGAACTTTGTACCATATTTATGCTAATAAATGAATTGATTTGATTGAATAAGGTTACTAGAGCCCAAATCCTTTCCTTTTAACTCTGGTGGAAGAGACTCAAAAGGCGGCAATTCACGTGCAACTCTTCTAGAAGTCTAGAAGGAAAATAGAGACTTGCTAACACTTAATATTTATTTTTCAGGGTAAACGAGTGTTCTATCACAAGATTGTGATAGAAGACAATGCAGGCGGCCGGGAGACTGTCGCTGTCAGATGTGAGGTGCTAGGGAAACAGAGATTAATCAGAAGAGACGTACAAACCTTCCCACTAGACTTTGACGAACCTGAGTAAGTTTTTTTATCTATTGGTAAATTATATTTTTAAACGAGTGTATTCCGAATAATTTAATATAATATACCTCACACATCTCACACACGGCCATCTGATCCCAAACTATGCAGAGCCTGTACTTTGGTAACCAGACTACTGAGAATCATACTTATATATTTCTAAATACATACATATTATAGATAAATTACACCCAGACACAGAACAAATGATCGTGCTCATTACATAATATTTGTACTGGGTGGGAACCGAATAAAAAAAACAAATATTTTCTGAATGGGAACCAAACCTCCTTGAAATAGATCAGCTTGACAACAGTACAACTGCTTGCATTGAAGTGATTGGAGTGATTAATACCACGGCCTATCAAAAAACCACTCCAAAACCAACTTCTAAACATAAATGCCTACTTATTACTATTATAGGGGGTGGGACTCAAAGGGAGACTCTTGAAATCAGGTAACCCATCTGCACGTTTAACCCCTTATATAAAACAAAATCACAGCTTCAGATAGTTACTTGTTTTATCAAGAGTAATATATCTTCTTTGTTTGTTCCAGTGTGCTGAACATCACCCGCTACGAAGAAGGAAAGGCCCCTGAACCAATACTTGGTGCCATCGTCAAGCAAAATGGGAAGCAGTAAGCATCCTAATACTAGCTGTTCTATATGACTTCTTAAACTCAGAGGTGACAAGGACTTCGGACGGCTCCTTGTCAAGACCGATTTCCTCTACAGCTACGGATCCCCCACCCTAAAATTTGACTAATTTTAATTTATAAAACTTTAATTAAAGAAATTCCTTTTTTTTTGCCATTCATACTTACAATTTTACTTACTTAAGTCTAATTAATTGAGGTGGATAAATTAAACGAAGAATGAATAGAAGGGTTTAAGAATCAATCCCGATGTTCACTACAGCCTACTAATTTCGTGCTTCTCGTACAAAAACGCTTAGAATATTTATAGTTGCAAGAGTCCTATTAATCAGAGAGATTTCTTAATCCAATCCGGTCACAAATTACTTTCTAAGTTAAAAAACCTACTTACACTTTCTCACAGGTAGAAATCATCAATCTTCATCATCAATAGTCCAGTTCTGGACATAGGCCTCTCCTTACAATGGAGGTTTTGGCCTACTATACTACGCTGGCCAGACGGGTTGGTATAGGGTTTGTGTCAAGTTTTCCTTCTCTCTGCAGTGCTGTTTTTCTGCATTGTTTTTTCCCTTAGTGGGCTCTTACGACACCCACGGGATGAATAGGGGTAGTGACACTCTGTATTCTAAATCCGTCACCAACCATACGGTAGGAATAAAAAAGATAAATATTTACCGTAAAAAACACGATATTTATGCGATTACTCTATCCAGTATGGCTCACGTTACACCAAAGGCGCCTGTCTTCATTACTTAGTAAACCACCAAGTAACGACTAATCGACTCACACCTTAATAAGTCCACCTTTATTCCCTTTATGTTTAATCTTCCATAACATTAATATCTCCGATAATTTTTAACCAACTTCTAATAATTTCCAGAGTATCAGGTGAGATTTCAGTGACTCCAGGCACGCCTCTTACGATGGAGATATTCCTGAACGAGCAGTCAGCTCCGGTCTACGGCCTTTTAGTGAATTACATGCACGTCACCGATACTGGAAAGCAACAAGAAACTATTATTTTGAACGGGTAAGTCTTGGCAAAACGGTATCTTAAACGATCCGACTCTAGGTGTTGTTTACCGGATGTTTGTTCTGTGTCTGCTAGTTAAATCCTCTGCAACACAGCAGTCATACATATTATCAGAGTGGCTTTATACAGGCTAGTTAGTTAGCCTGAATGTCCGGCTCGAAGGACCATAACAGTACAAGCAGTTGTCACACTTGCAGATAGTTGTTGAGTATTAATTGAGTATTACTTGACTGCACGGATGGCGTAGTGGTTTAAGCGGTTGCCACGCCGCTTTCTACTACGGCAAGTGTTGTGGGTTCAAACCCCACATGGGACGACACTTTGTGTAATCCACAAATTGTTGTTCTGAGTCTGGGTGTTCTCTGTGTCCGTTTCATGTATGTTTGTAGCTTCACCGCGACACAGGATGTATTACTAGTGCGGGAGTTGTCTTTAAAAAAAAGTATGCTAGCAAATGTGGTATTTTAAAGTAGAAGTATATAAATTTACATAGAGAAGCCGGCGGCTCTTTCCTTGATTGTGTTTCGTGTAACAGTTTGTAGCGCACTAACTTATAAAGTATTAATTAATATAATTACAACAATAAGCAACGCGCAACCGAAAGTAGGTTAAAGTAAAAGTGTACAATAAATTATCTATAGATACTTATGTAAAATCAAAAACTCTTTGTATGTACGGTCTTACTGATCTTATATAAAAAGGCGATAAAAATGGTAATGATGAAGAAAGATATTGGGCAGAGAATGAGATAAATTCTACGTGAAGAAATCCACTGTTAAAGGTTTTTTTCGTATCCCTTTGCTCGATGATGATTACCAAAACTGGAATCTAAGGTTATCAAAGACAACGATTATCTAACATTAAAATAAATATCACAATCTGAAGAAGGCAGCAGGCGTAGTAAGATCAATAAAGATGCTTATATTTTGCACTATTATGGCACCAGACGAGTGAGCCCATGCGCTCGTGGTCTCTATACAGAAATAACGAGCATGCTACCGATGGCTGTAATAAATTCGAAGAAATTCTACAATATTTTGTTATTGATAAATCTTTTTTGTGTTTGGAGGAGTGGCGAGCTAAAGTGGCAGTGGGCTGGCCATATTAGACGCAGAACCGACAACCGTTGGGGTAAACGAGTTCTTGAGTGGAATTCGCCCACAGGCCAGTTGGAGTGAAGATTTGCGCAAGATGGCTGGCAGGAGCTGGATGCGTCAAGCCCAAAATCGTTCTAATTGGCGTGCAATGGGAGAGGCCTATGTCCAGCGGTGGACTGCGATAAGCTGATGATGATGATGAGGAGTAGGCTGGATAGTTTAAATTCGCAACTAACGGTTTCAATACTCGGTATGTAGCGCTGCAATCGGGTTATAGAAACAGTTTTCTTTTTATGTCTCGTTCAAAGTATTGTTTAGATTTTAGTTTATTTGTTTTATTTTCGATATCAATTAAGACACAACCAAGAAAAGTATATTTTCGAGCAAGACAACGTTTATGTGGTTCACATCACACACATCAACAGCCTATAATAGTCCACTGCTGGACATAGGATTCTCCTTATGTGGTTCGCTAGTTCATTATTCTATATTGCACATTGACATTTAATAATAGTATTATTTATATTCCAGATGTTCAGTAGACCCGTACCTGTTCGACAACTTCGTAACCACTGACGGTGATACTCTGACAGCCAAGTTCAAGGCATTCAAATTCCCTGACACCACGTACGTGCAATTCAAAGGCACTGTCACCGTGTGTCTGGATAAATGCCAGGGGGTAAGTTGAATTAAACAGCGTCACTCCAGAATAATGTTGTTACTTTGTTCTGGATAAAAGCTCACGTAGGACTAGAGCCAGTAGCTTAGTATCTTCTCCGCATGGTGACGGGTTAAGAGTACAGAAAGTCACTACCCAGATTCATACATCAGAGCATACCATCGCTCACTGCTGCAAATGAGGCAAAAATCTAGATATAATAACACTAAAGAGTAACAGTAAGTCACACAGTAGCCAACTCCCTTTATATACCATAATAATGAGTACAAAAACCTTTATTGCGCGATGCAGGCCTACGAAGTAGTACAGCATACTTTCCAGAGATGGCGCTAAGTATATTGTAAGAACACATATGTAGTTTACAATTTGTAGCTTCTCTTTCAAAATGAAAGAACTTAGAATGGTGTATTAGAAGTGTAGGTACGAGTACATTCATTGTTTATTACTCAAACGTTTTATCTATTCCAGGTACAGTGCAGTAATGGACAGTTCGCGTACGGCCGTAAGCGGCGGTCGATCGCTTCGAGCGACTCAAATAAAATATACGAAGTGTCACTCACAACTTTCATTAAGGTGGACTACGAGAAAGGACAGAAAGAGGCAGGTAAGAAGTAACATTATTATATTTTAAGCTTAACTTAACTACTACAATAAGAGTTATGTTTGATAAAGAAACCGGTCAGGTACGAGTCGAACTCGTGCGTACCCAGACTTTACGTAGATTTTATCAAAATTTATCTTAATTTTTTAATTTTTTTTATTTTTGTGTGATCCACAAATTGTTGTTTTAAGTCTAGGTGTTTTTTGTGTCCGTTTCATGTATGTTTGTAAAGTCCCCCGCGATACAGGATATATTCCTAATGCGGGAGTTGCCTTAAAAAAAAACAGCTTAACTACTCTACTCACGCATTGTTGCCAATAAGCTTTTCAGGCGCTATTTAACAGTAATCTAGTATTTATTTTATAATTATGTAGTCAATGGTAGTCATATATAATAAAATAGTTACTAGATTTACTGTTAAATAGGCGAAATAGGGTCTTTATGCATCGTCTGAAAATTGCTTATTGGCAACAACGCGGGTATAAGTAGCAACCCTAACCCACGTACGACAAAATGGAATGAAAAATCACAGTTCATTCACAGTTCACTGTGATTTTGTTCTATGTCTAATACCGCCCATAGACACCTTCAAGTCAAGAGTCACAGAGTGCGTCACCGCCCTCCGCTCCGGAATCAACTGGTGAGGGAGGGTTGATGAATAAAATGAAAAACAACAAAGAAATTGCTTAATGGCAGTTTCCTGTGAGCCGGTGAGCCGGTCGAAATGACCCATTTGTGCCGAAACATAATCTTCGCCACGTCCGTGTGGTGATGGATTAACAACACAGAGTCTCACCACCCCTATTGATCCCGTGGGTGTAGTAAAAGACGACTAAGGGAGCAAACTACGCAGAACAATAGCACTGCAGAGAGAAGGAAAACTTGACACAAACCCTGTACCAACTCGTCTGGCTAGCGTGGTATAGTAGACCAAAACTTTCTTTCTAAGAAAGCCTATGTCCCGCAGTGGGTTATTAAAGGCTGTTAAATACGACATAGAATTAAATATTAATCATTTATAATAACCTTATACCATGCGCTTATACTTCAAGTTAATTACACCTTTTTCAAATATTTTTAACACAAAAATACGAGATATATATACGAGAAATAAATACATCAATTTAAATGTCCTTTATGAATACGGCTTTCAGCAAGCCCGGCTGACATATCTTTTCATAAGAACAGCCATGATTTACCTGTCATCCTATCCATTTTCATCCTGCTCGAGCTCCGAAATGGGATAAATAGCCCACATATTTATTCATTACGACAAATTGCAGGGGTTTTATTTTTAATGATAACTGATGAAATGGTTTTTAGAGAAGGGTTTGTAGGTTACAATATGGTTTGTAAATAAAAAATATAATAATAGTTTTTGAATAATTATCTCATTCTCTCTTCAATTTAAGAGCCAAGCTCTGATGTCTGTCGGTGGAACAATAGCCACTCCTCTCTATTTCCTGCTATCTGTTTGAGCTCTTGATGGTAGACCACGACTCCCAATTTCTCGTTTTCTGTTGCCTTATTACGTCAGTTATTTTAATATTACTAAATAAGAAAGTGTTATTGTATTGAATGTAAAAAAGAAATTAAAAAATATTATTATATTATTTATCGTCTACTTGTTGTAGATGGCCCGAGGTATGTCGGGGCACCAGGGACTTCCTTTCTAGGGTATACCTGGTTCCCCGGCTATTAGTACCCAAAACGGCATGCGGTTTTAGTCGGTTCGAGTCCGACATGCCACCGGATAGGTGGTATCCGAGGGGATTTCCGCACGGAAAAAAAAAAGAGGGTACATAGGGTTGCTAGGTTACCTACCTAAGGTTAGACACTATTTAACAGTAAATCTAGTCTTTTTTTCATTATTATGTAGAGAATGGTAGGTATATAATAAAATATTTACTAGATTTACTGTTAAATTGGCGAAATAAGGTCTGAAAACAGCTTATTGGCAACAACGCGTGAGTGAGTAGTGACTCTTACCTACGTACGAAAAAACGAATGAAAAATCACCGTTCATTCGCAATTCACTGTGATTTTGTCCCATCTATAAGTACAAACATGATGTACCATTGGTTATTATTTCTTTGCATTTTTACCGTGGGAGAGCCATGCTTCGGCACGAATGGGCCGCCTCGACCGGAGTGATACCACGGCCTCACAGAAAACCGGTGTTAAGCTATTTTTTCGTTGCCTAAGTGAGTGAGGTTACCGGAGCCCAAATCCCCCCCTCCCGCAGACTCGAGCGGTAGGGAATTCAAGGGCGGCAACGGACTTGTGACTTTTGAGTTGCAGGTGTCCATGGGCGGCGGTAGTTGCTTACCATCAGGTGGCCCGTTTGCTCGTTTGGCCCCTTATGGCATAAAAAAAAATAATTGAACAATATTTTTTTTCTTTTGATTTTTAAAAAGACTACTCCTGCACTGGGACATTTAATTGTTACTAAATATAAATGGCATAATAAATATATGACATTATATTGTTACTGAATAAATGACTAGGAATGACTGCACGGATGGCGTAGTGGTTTAAGCGATCGCCACGCCGCTTCCTACTACGCTGAGTGTTGTGGATTCGATCCCCACGCGTGACGTCACTTTGTGTGTCTGGGTGTTCTTTGTGTCCGTTTCATGTATGTTTTGTAAGTCCCATGCGACACAGGACTTATCCCTAGTGCGGGCATTGTCATTTTTTGTCAAAAGAAAAGAAATTTATCCTGTGTCGCTGTTTTACTTTACAGACGTATCTGAAACGGACAACGTTGTATCCGAAACAATAATATGTATTAAAGGGTCCGCCAAATAACTTTTTTTTTTTGAAAATGCTATAAAAAAAACTACTGAATATTTTCGCAAATTTATTTTTTTATTTGAAAGTACAATCCTTTCGGTTAATAATGGAAAATAATTTCATTCAAATGGCTGCCTCGGCTGCACATAAGCACATTATCGATTGTGTGCAGCTGTATTTCACCAATGGCTTCACGAATATTGTCGGCGTAACACTTATCTTTGAGGGCACCCCACAAATAATAGTCCAGCGGTGTCAAATCGCAGCTCCGAGGTGGCCAAACGACATCAGCTCTGCGGCTGATAATGCGATCTTCAAAAACAGGGCGCAAAACATGGAGTGTAGCTTCGGCTGTGTGGCACGTAGCGCCGTCCTGTTGAAACCAAATGTTGCCAATATCCTCCTCTTCAATTTTTGTGAACAAAAATTCGTTCAACATGGCCCGATAACGATCGCCATTGACTGTAACGGCCACTCCTTGCTCATTTTCGAAGAAAAATGGGCCAATTATGCATCTGGACCAAAATCCGCACCAAACAGTGACTCGTTTTGGGTGTACCGACTTTTCAATGTATGCGTGCGGGTTTTCTGTACCCCAAATGCGACAATTTTGCTTGTTTACATACCCGCCAAGATCAAAATGAGCTTCATCCGAAAAGATGATTTTTTTGGCAAAATCGGCATCTTCTGTAAGTCGATCGCAGGCCCACACAGCGAAGCGAAAACGCATTGGATGGTCAGTTGGCTTCAACTCCTGAACCAATTGGACTTTGTATGGCGTCATACCAAGGTCTTTATGCAAAATTCGTCTCAATGATGTCTCCGAAATGTTGAGAACGACGGTGAATTGATGTTGATGGCGCTTCACGCACACTTTCTGCCACAGCATCAATATTCTCGGGTGTACGCACTGTTTTTGGCTTTTCACGCTTTGGTTTATCGATGAGGATGCCAGTTTCTTTCACTTTTTTCACAAGATAACGAACATACGGAGCTGACGATGCTTCTCTTCTTCCAAAATCCGTACGCAATTTTCGCACACATTCTGCAACATTACCATGATTTTCAAAGTAATGTCACAATATTTCCCAGCGTTGTTCAAGCGTATACACAACCATATTCGTTCAGCGAAAGGATAAAACTAATTATCTGTCAAATCAGACATGAGCATGAGCATTCACGAAATAAGCACTAGTTGAAAAAAAAAACTTTAGATGGCGGACCTTTTATATATATATAAATATATTTATACAAAGATTTGAACAGAAGTCATGGTCATATTTTGAGGCCATGGGTTTATAAAACGACAATTCTGTATAAATATTATTATCTAGAAAACTACGACTACATATAAAAATAAATACATTTTTTTTTCTCTTTTACAGAAGACGTTTTAGCTCTCCTCCGTCACCTGAGAGTCGCGAACCAACGTCTTGGAGACATGGACGGCACTCCAGCAACAGTGGCTGAACATACTTCCGACAATAGACTTGTATTAGTGGACGACCATGATTTGATTCATGATAAATCCAATATGGTGGCTGTCAGCTGCTTACTACTGCTAGTGTGTTTGTTAGTACACTTTAAATAAATGGACTACAATTAAAATGGCAGCACTGTTACTAACTACTGACCACACTGTAGGATTTTTATTTAATTTAACTATATTCTGTTAACCTAATCCGAAGTGTTCAATAACTTTTTTATACTTAATACTAGATACTCGACTCATTTTCGCGCGCTTTTACATAGGCCGAGTAGAAATGCGCGCGAAAATATAATAATTTTAGTTAATTATCTGTGGTTAGATAAAAAAAAAGTCTTTGATGCTCTATCTACCAATATTTCGTAACGATAGTATTTACAAAATTTATCAAAAGCATCATAGATGAACACATTGTTTAAAGATTGCTCGTGTTCTTTATTTGTTGCCAAATAATATACCTACATTTTTTAAAGTTAACAGTTTCACACCATTCCAATAAATGTTTTTACAATTTAGTTTTAAAATAAAGTGATTTAACGATAACGTAATTAATTTAGTTTAGATTTTAATACCAGTGTAAAGTTAAATGCACATTAAGTTTCAATATTAAAGTAACTATCGTGTACTAGAATTTTACAAGATTATATCAGGATCTCGAAATACTGTTCGAAAGATAACCTCAGCAAATTTAAAAAAAAAAGCTATCATACATATCTCAGAATCTACCAAAATTAGTAGAAAATCTTGGTAGCCGTAAACGTTTTTCGCACATTTTTTAAGTTGCATAGTTATTGTGCATTTAACTGTTAAGATAATGCTAACGCATTTAAATCCACTAGTCTTATGATAACTTTCAATAAGAACTCAATCAATATTAAATAAATTGTGAATATAATATAGTTGCTTCAACTTGTAATACCTTAGCCAACTGGCAACACTTAACATTTGTTTTTCAAGGTCACATTTCTTTCAGGGCTTACAGGATTAACAGAAATCGAAATAATAAACTCAAAAATGGATTTATCTTCATTTATTGCACTTACTCGTTCTATAGACAAAACGTAAAAAGTTGTTTTTTTTTACATATTTACGTCTGCAATTATCATTGAACTTCTTAAAAAGATAATGAATCAATGTTTACTCCTCTTAAACAAACATCGTCGTCAGCAAATCGCCCATGGTCCATAATTCATATATAGAAAGATCGTCCATAGTTTGGCATATATTAAAAAATACTGTTCCTTAGGGTAGATTACAACACATTCAATGTTATTTACACATAACAAACTGGCCAATACTAAATGTACTTTGGTTTGTCAATTTTGACACATGTCATATTTGACATGTGACAAAAGATAGTAACAAAAACAATGCAGATAGAAAAATATGTATATAAATATATGTATAATACACATACAAAGTTGATTATCAAAACTATCCTCACAGATCTATACCAATATGAATAAATACAACAAAAGTTTTAAAGTATTTTGTTATGACGTAGAAATTGTACTACACTATTGTAAATATAATTTCTTATCAAATACTTTACGAACCAGCCGCATTATTGTCTTACAAGAGAAATAGTAAGCGGTTCTTGCGGTGCTGTCCTCTATAGCACAACACTAAAAATGCCTACAGTCTACGAACATTTATGTAACGCCATCAACTAGTGATGTGACCTCTCTTTCATTGCAGCAAAAAAGAGGAAAATGTAGAAATTAAATACTCATACCAGCGAGTTAATTATGAATTTTAAAAGAACATGTATAATTGGCCATATTTTTTTTTACTAAATAGTTTTTATTTTTTGGTGCTTGCAATACTTACTGTCACATTTTGTGATTACTTTTAATTTAGCTTTTTATAGGACCCCTTTTACAGATGATCAGCATATATTTGGGTATGGATACCATTACTATTTATCAATAACCAAGTTTCTTTCTTTTTATTTAGAAAAGATAATGGAAAAGATTTGAATTTAAGAGACACACATAATTGGAATTGGTGAAGGGTATTATGGTGTAAGGGAATTTCTGAAACAACAAATTTAAACCAATAAGAAATGGTAATTAATTAAATATATATTTTACAAATACTACAATTAATAATAAACTTATTTGTAAAGGGGGTCCTAAGCCTAATTGTAAGTGTAGGAAATTAATTAAATAATAATAATAAAATGATTAAAAACTGCCAAAGAAATTGTTTTATTTAGTAACTGCGTATCCGACTAAAAGTTACATAGATTAGCACGTTAAACAAACGAAAAATATAGTTTTGTTATAGAAAAATAGACCGAGGTAGGTTAGAGAGCTCGGACTTCCCACCCGGACTTTTCGAAGTCTTGCTAACTCTCCCATATTTATCCGTATAAGCGAAATCTCCTATCATTGACTTCTTCTCTACCTTGTCACGTGGAACTTTGGCTGCCGACATCTAAAAACGTGATCGTCCACCCCGAAAACCCCTCCATATTCAAGCACCCCATCATCTTGAAATTACAGAAGAATTCCTTATATGGTGCGAGCTAGTAAAGATTTAGAAGGCAACAAAACTGTTAAATCATAACTTCTTTGGAGAGTAGCTTATTTAAACGAACAGTAAAGGAAACATTTGTAGGCCATGTTCGTGCATTGAGTGTTCTTGAAATATATCGATGATCCTGTTATTTTACTCGTAAAAACCTGTAATTGGCTTTCTGTTATCCATTGTTATGCCTGAAATTGTGACTCATAGCTGTCGGTTTTCCTTAAATTAGTGTTTTTTTTTTGTTGTGTGCCTCTGTCTACCCTCTTCTACCCTATTATTATATTTATTTCACTTCTAGTCGGCTGTGATTGGTGAAGAGTTTAGTTCGGGCCAATAAAAAAGCCGAACGCGATCAAAAAAAAAAAATAGTTTTAAAAAACTAAACAACACGCTTTCTATAGAAAACAAAACTAAAAAATAGAAAATAAATTTGGGTGCCTGTTGTCAATAGTAAAAAGCACCCTACGCTTTTTTTCAAATTAGTGTATTTTCATCGGTCCTAGATATATCTACAAAGATTGAACGAATTGTGACCGTAGTCAGTCAAAATCACGCCCAAAGGAGTCGGTTACAAACATACAAACAAACATACAAGTGAAGCTAGTATAAAGCGTGTAAGAAATGGGCGGTTTAATATGCCTCTGTCTACCCTCTTCAGAGACCAAAGTTTAAGTTTATTTCACTTCTAGTCGATCGTCATGGTGATCGCGTTCGGCCTTGTGATAGGCCCGAACTAAACTCTTGACCAATCACAACCGAAAGCGGTCATCGTGATGAACGAGTTGATGTTGAATAATCTTACTACACTAGGCCCTCTCAGATGTAGTCGTGGGTGAGTGTGTGTTATAGGTTTAATAAAAAGAAAGCCAGCAATAAGATTTCAGTCTTTTAATAGAACCTTTATCAATAATATCGATCTAACAAAGTAGGTACAATGAAAAATAATCCTATTTATTAATAATAAAGAAACAACACAATTATTGATACATTTTTTGTTTCAAATTACTTAATATTTATTATATATTGTGTAAAAGAGAACAAAATAGATTTAAAGACAAATCATGTAATAATATTAGTTGTTTGCTATAAGTCGAGTGTAGACCATAATGCATTGAACTTAAAACCTAGTTTTAATTAATAAATCAAGCAATAAATTTCGGTATAAGTTGACCTCTTAATGTAGAGACTTTCCGTAACTTGACAGGCCACCACAGAACTAAAAGCTTAATGTACTAGTTTCCACATATTTTTTTAAACTTATTAAATAATAGACATTGTTTCAAAATGATAGCTGTGTACATTTCTTCTTCATATAAATATCACGATTCACAACATTATATTATTCCGCAAGTGAAATTTGCTGAAAGAGGGTAGAAAGAAACCTGTTTAGGTATCATTTAAACAACCTCACTGCTCAGCACCACTCTAGCGCTGCTAACTGCTTCCTCTTGAGTATTAACTAAATTTGCCGGTGACCCCGATCACAGAATAACTCTATACTCCATGTGTCGAGATGAAATGCAGATTACTATTTAATTTTAAAGTACCGATTTAGATTTTATAGATAAACAAACAACTAATACTATTGTTAAACGATGTAAGAAATGGTAGTATTTTTTTTAAATATGGCAAGTAGCGTTTCTTGTCATATTAAAAAACGAATGTTGTAGAAATTGACATCGGTGAATTTGACAGTGGTGAAATGTTATTTCAAAAATGTCAAACTCGTATGATTTTTGTAAAATAAAAAATACATTTTAAAACTTAAAATAACAAGTACTATTTCACAAATACAATTTTTATCTAACATTAGGTAAAATTATTTTTAACACGCACTTTTAAAAATAATATACACAAACAGTTGAATGTTTAAACAATTAATGTATACAGAGTGCTTCAACTAACATGATGAGATAAATATATAACAAATAATATCAATAGCAGTTTTTAACGTTATCTCAAAAACAAAAGATAAATCGTTAAAAATCAATTAAATTTTAATATCGTTATATTTTACACCCTGTATACACAGTAAAACAATTCCATATAGGCATTACAGACGAATCTAATAACTACTTGAATAAGGTGTAGGAACATTTATTTACATAAATATACCAATTTGTAGTAACAACATATTTACTGGCAACACCCAGAGTTATTTCTAGGCCCAACTACCCACTGGAAGATTAAAAGTCGAACTATGAATCTGAAAAACCTTCTTTTAGGATGTATGGTGGACCCGAGCAGGCGGATCAACTCGTGTTAAGTAACTACCGGTGCCTATGGGCGCCAACAGTTCAATAGACACAAGTGTATTGAGATATTATATGGGGTTTGGATCTCCGGTAACTTCATCATCATCATCATCATCAACAGCCTTTACTAGTCCACTGCTGGACATAGGCCTCTCCTTAGAAAGGAGGTTTTGGCCTACTATACCACGCTGGCCAGACGGGATGGTATAGGGTTTGGGTCAAGTTTTCCTTCTCTTTGCAGTGCTGTTGTCCTGCGTAGTTTGCTCCCTTAGTCGCTTCTTACGACACCCACGGGATGAATAGGGGTGGTGACACTCT